CTCAGTAGCCCCTGGCAGAGTCATGGGCAGTCCAGACCCCCCTGGGGTGCCAGTAGCTGGGGAAGGGTGCTAGGTGTGAGCACCCCTCTTTCTGCAGGGGAGAGGGTATGTGTGAAGGGACGAATGTCACCGTCCACCCCACTGGACTGCAGGGCCAGTACCGCAGCTTCTGTGAGTATGCACTGGACACTGGGTGGGCTGGGGCTCCGGGGCGCGCAGGAGCCTGGCTGGCTTCAACCCTGGGGAGCCGCTGGCTTTGGAGAGCACGGGTGCTGGGAGGGACCCCCTTGCCTGCGGTGCTGCCTGTAGGGGACTGAGGACAGGACAGAGCTTCTGTGTCACCGTCTGGGTCTCCTTAGTTGAGGGGGGCCTCATGCACATCCGCTTTGTGAGCACCGACTACTCCAACCTCATCCTCTACGTTCGATTTGAGGATTCTGAGGTCACCAGCCTGTGGGTGCTGCTAGGTAGGTCCTGGGGGAGGCCTGGCTGTGGGGGGTTGTGAGCGTGAGGGTGGGGGCTTCCAGCCTCACCTGGGGGGAGGGCCAGAGACCAGAGTTGAGGTGGGGCCTGGGAGGTGGCAGTCAGGAGGCACCCCTTGAAAAGTGTTGGGCTCGAGGGCCCCAGCCCGGGCCCCCACCTAAAGGTTTTGCAGAGAAGGGAGCTCAGAGCCTCGACCATGCCCTGGCCTAATGTTTCAGGGCGGAGCCTGCCTGGGGACCCCGAGTGGCTGCGGAGTTTCCAGGAGCGAGTGGGGCCTCTACACCTGCACAGAGCTCCAGTCTCCAACATGTCTGGTGAGTGCTGCCCCCCAGCCTGGATGCCTGGGGACAGTAACAAGGAAGGCGCACTGGAGGGACGTGGCCCCACTGTGGGACCCCAGCACCCCCGTGCCCTGGCTGCACCAGCAGGCCTCACGTGGCCCTAGGACAGTATGGCTCAGACACATAGAAGAGCAGGGCAGGGTCACACCGTACAGCCGCGGGAGCGGGGATCTCGGGGCTCCCGAGCCCAGCGTTCTGCCGGACCCTGCCCTGTGCCTGCTCCATGTGTGTCCATTAGTCGATCAACATACACAGCCAGCCAAACCTGTTCTGGGAGCCTGAATGCGTGCAGAACAAAACAGGCTCTTCTGCAGCCTGGTGCAGGTCCCGGGGAGCAGGCTGAGGCAGGCAGTTAGAACTATTTGTAAGGAGGAGAGATAAAGAGGGTGTGCTGGAGGCCGGAACAGAGCTCAGGGCCACACTATGTGTGCAGAAGGCCAGGCTGGGCATCAGGGACACGGGGCAGGGCTTCTGCCAGAACACCGGGGCACGGGTCTTCAGCACTCTGCCACCGTGGGGCACAAGGGTGTGTCAGGGCCAGTGTGTGCGCTATGATGCTTGGGCTCATTGGTGGAAGGCAGCCCTCCTAGCCACGCCTCCTCTGTCCCCAGGCCGGTGCCCCCTGTCCAAGATGGCCTGAGGCTGCTCCCTGGCTCCTGCTGGGACCCCGCCCTGCGCGACACCCTCAGCTGCCTTCCTTCACCTGACCTGGAAGCCCCTCTGCCCGGAGCCCTGTCCACCTCATCCCACCTTCTGGTCTGCGCCACCAGGAACATGTGGTGTCTCCAAGCTGCCCGTGGCTGGAGGAACCCAGGGACGTGGGGAGCGAGGAGTGGCTCCCTGGAGACACCCAGGAGCCAGGCCCACGGGGTCGTCCGCAGTGTCCTCTCCCAGGGTGAGCCCAGAGGGACTTGGCTTAGATCTCTGGCCAAGGTGGAGCCCTCAAGAGCCCCAGAGTGCGCTCCTCGCCTGACAGGACCCCGCCTCTTGTGTCTGGGCCCGCTCCAGCCAGCTATGCCTGGAATAATGGGGTCAGGCACATGATGCTTCCACCCAGAGGCCCCGGACAGGCCTGGCCGGATGACTGCTCCAGGAAATGCCCTAGCCAGCACCCTCCCCCAGCTGGGTGAGGTGGACTTGACCCAGTTAGGCCCTACAGCCGTGTGGGCCGTCACCTGGGGGTGACTCAGATGCTGGCAAACACGTTACAAAACACACAGAAAGCTCACTGTCTTCCCTGTGAACCAGCAGCAGGAAAAGAACGCAGTCGAGCAGGCAGCAGACACAAGGTGGACCCAGAGCCCGCAGGCAGGCCTGGCGGGGCGGCGGCAGCCAGTCTGGACTGAGGCGTGCAGCCAGGCCTGCCACACGCAGGCCCGAGTCCTGTCCCTTACGCTGCCCAAACAGACCGCAGCTCGGGTAATGCACGCAAATGTGCCCTTCTGTTTCTTTCTCAATAACCCAAGATTTAGCGGTCCTCAAGTTAATCTACACGGAACAGGCAGTGAAATCCATGCTCTGATGGGAGACACTTTCCCCCGATTGCAAACCAGGATCCACATGCATATAAGGAGTGAAAGTCTTGAAATTTTTATAAGGAAAATGTAGCTGGATGTGGTAGCCTGCATCTGCAATCCCAGCACTCAGGAGGCTGAGGCAGGAAGATTGCGTGAGTTCGAGGCCAGCCTGAGCTACCTAGCAAGATTCTGCCTCGAAACACCAGAAAACAGAAGAAAAGCAATGTCACCCTACCGTAACAGCAAGAGACGCAGGCAAATACCAAGTGGCATTCTCTGAGGACAGAAAGACAGACACAGCACTGAGGACACTTGTCCAGAAATGAACCCAAATGTGCATAGCGATTTATCCTGTGGCCATTATGAAAATATTATTTATTCTACAATAATGAGGAAGGGACGGAGACAGGGCCACGTGCAGCGGGGGCCGGAGGCCACATCCCACACCGTGCCTGACCACTGATTCCTAATGAAGAGAACCTGGAGGTTTCTGTGCTGTCGGTGCCACAGAGGCAGGGCCCCCCTGGGAAAGGTGCCCGGGGCATCAGGGTCCTCTGTGATGAGGCTGGAAGACAGAGGGCTGTGGCCAAGTGGGTGGCAGTGACAAAGGAGAAAATGAGACACAAGAAAAATGCCCCAAAGGCCCAGAAAGGCTGTCACGCAGCCGCCCGAGTCCAAGGCTGCCAGACACAATTACCTAAAGTCCCACTCTGTCACGATTCTAAGGAGATGCTAGCTTTTAAAATTCAGAACAGAATTTTTTTTGGTGGCACCCGCAGTTGAACCCAGGGCCTTCACCCTGGACTATAGCCAAGCCCTTTTTATTTTTTGAGACAGGGTTTTGTTTAGCGATACCTTGCCCGCCCATGCATGAACTTTCAACCCCTTACCTCAGCCTCCTAGAGTGGTGGATTACAGGGCTGTACCACCACATTAGGCTAAAAGATTTTTTTTTTTTTTTTTTCCCCAAGGCTCCATTGGTGTGCACAGGCAGAAGTGCCCCCTAGCAGCAAGGACGGAGCCTGGAGGCTGGGATGACCAGGGACCCAGGCTTCCTAAGCCTTTGGCGGGCTTGTTCTTGGACTGGCAATGCTTGGTGCTGACAAGTTTACCTGTCACCTGCAGTGTGGTGGGGATCCCAGCCCTCAGGAGGCCGAGGCAGGAGGATCACTGAGGCCAGCCTGGGCTCTGTAGTGAGTTCAAGGCCAGCCTGAACTGCCTGAGAGAACCTGTCTCAAAAGGAAAAGTTTTCCTATCATTCTCCCAGTTAGATCAAGGAATTTAGGGTGGCTTAATATTGTTGCATCATTTTTCTAAAGGTAAAATTTCAGAAATTGTCTCGAATAAATTACCCTTATACATAAATTGGCAGGAGAAAGTTATCTGCCAAAATGCAACCCTGCCTCCGTAACCCAGCTCAGGCAAATAGCTGAGGGATAAGTGTAGCCCTGGGGCTTGTGGCTGATGTGACATTCTGTCTCTGTCTCTGTCCCTGTCTCTCTCTTTCCAGGGTCCTGTTATATAGATCAGGCTGGCCTCAAACTCATGGTGATCCTCCTGCTTCAGCCTCCCGAGCTCTGGAATCACCTGTGTGTGCCCACCAGCATGCCTGGCCCTGGCTCCTCTGTCCTGAAATTCATGCAGGCTGTTTTTTTTTTTTTTTTTTTTACCAGGGATCAAACTCAGGACCTTGCGCTTGCCAGGCAGGCGTTTACGCCACTGAGCCATCTCCGCGGCCCTGCAGGTTGATTTTAATCAGGAGAAAGAGTGCAACATGCAAGAAGGGTGTCACCAGATGTGTCCTCTTCCCTTAGTCCCAAGGACAGCAGCAGGAAAGTGGGGACAAGTGGTGGTGGTGGGATGATGTCACGGAAGACACACAGGTGAAGCCAAGCTGGAGGTCTCTACCTGTTTCCTACTCCCAGTGGGAACGATGGCCTCCCTGGAGATTAGTGTGAAGACGCCACCGTGGTTTGCACTCCATTAGGTGCCGGGTACGCGGTGCGTACCGGCTGGTCACCAGGGCCCTGGGCAGAGGGTCCAGGCTGGGCGGCGTCAGCCACTGTCACCCAGCCTCTCGAGGCCCTGCAGGCGGGCCCTGGGTCGCAGGCTCGCAGGTGGCCCCTCTGAGACCTCCCTCGCAGGCTCGCACGTGGTCTTCCCCTGTGTCCTCAAGGCCCCTCTGAGTGTGTCTGTCATGATCTTGTCATGTTGGTAAACGCCACCCCAGGGCTTTGTTCACATCCTCAGGAGCCGAGGGGACACGGCGCGACCCCCACACCTCCCAGGGCCACCCACAACTCTGCAGCCTCCGATCCTGCCCCAGAGCTGGCAGCCACCGTGGGCCCTGGCATGTCAGGTTCCACTTTTGGGTGGGGAGCTCCGTTGAACCTACGGTCCACCCACAGACCACAGTAGCCGGGGACACGGTTCTGTCCCGGCTCCGTTCCGGCACAGCCCCTTTAGCACACGCTCCACAAACACTTTTTTAAAATTAAAATTAAATACTCACAGCCTTGAAACACCCCTTCACCCTCTCTGTGGCCACAGTGCTTGAAACCTGCCCCCGCATTGAAACCCCAGAGCATGCCCGCTGTCCGGAGGTGGCAGATACTTAGCTTTTATTTTACATTTAGCGCTTCTACTTTGGGACTAGATTTTTATTTTTTATGAGCTAGAGTCTTACTCCTGTAAGAGAAAAATGGTTCTGTGTCACAAGCATTTCCACGTTTTCTAGGACGTGGAGCTGGTAGTGTTACTCTGTGTGGACATTAAATTCTCTTGTTGTTTGTCCTCTAGTAGTCCAGCTGGAGAAGTCAAAACTGCGAGGAGGATGGCTCCGGCCTCTGGGGGTGGAGGGGAAGCTGCCTCCACGCGAGGGCGTGGCCTCAGATGGGCCTCTGCTGTGCCACCTTGACGTACCTCACCTGGGGCGGGAGGTTGAACCTGAGGTCCCAGCCGTACTCGGGGGACAGCAGCTTGGTGGGCTTGTGGAGGAGGAGGTACTTGTTGAGGTGCTGCTTGTAAGTGCTGCTGATGCCCTTCTGCGCGTCCCGGACCATGCCCTTCATACACGTATCCAAGAGGTGCAGCAGCTGCAGGGGTTTGCCCCCCACAATGGCGTCCCCGTAGTAGAAGTCGCCCTGCCCGAAAGGAATGTAGGCCTCCGAGCTGGGCCTCCGCTCGTAGGGGATGTTTAGGCTTTTCTGAAAGTACCACCAGGCGTGCAGCTGGGCCACCAGGGTACCCAGCGTCTCCAGGCCGAAGTCGCCCTGGAAGACCAGGCTGCCAGCCATGCTGAAGAGGAAGTCTACTTCCTCCTTGATGTGGCTCACCAGGTGCTGTACCAGGAACTGCAGGCGCATGAGCTCAGTGTCGGGCCACGGCTCGTCCTTGCTTACCATGAGGAACTTGAAGCTCTGGAGGGGCCCAAGCTGCACTTTGGGTGGCTCTGTGAAGCTGTCCAGGATGAGGTAGAAGACCACCTTCTGGCCAGGCATGAAGTGTGTGACTGCTGAGTGCAGGAACTGCTCCACGTGGTCGCCTACAGACCTGGGGCACAGGGGCAGCAGCTGCCCGTCTGAGGACCAGAGGACGCTCTGTGTGCTGACAAGAGCGTCCCTGATGCTCCAGGTTCCGCAAGGGCAGGGTCAGCAATCAGGTCCCAGCTCCTAGCCCGCTGGCCGGGCATGTGACAGCAGCACTGAGAGTGGGCGTGAGAACCTGGTGGACGTGAGCCGGAAGCTCCTGGGGCTGTGGAACCAGCCAGGGGCAGGTAGAGCAAGGCTGCCTGGAGCAGCAGAGCGCCCAGGGAGGCTCATCTTGTGTTTCCAAACAGGGCAAAGGTTGGCGGTACCTACCCGTAGGTGGCAAAGACCACCAGTCCCACGACGAGGTCCCGCCCCGCGTAGTGCCTCTGCAGTGCCTGCCTGCTGAAAGTGCCTTCCCACAGCACTGGGGCCAGCCAGGGGGTGACCGTGAGGACGTCCGGGCGCTTCCTGGGGGAGGCACAGAATAGGCTGAGCAGGTGCCGCCACATGCTCATGCGGTCTGGTGAGACCATAGAAGAGCCCTGTGCACTGGGCACGTGCCATGCAGGGAGCGGGGTGTGGATGGCAGGAGTTGCCTCGCAGCACAGCAGAGCTTAGCCCAGGCCAGGCCGGGCGCGATGCCGTGCTGTCCTGGCCCCTGCATTGCGCCTGAGCACAGAGCCACAGAAAGGGAGCCAGGGTCCTGGCATCCTCGGTGACCACTGGAAGCCACGTCCGCCTCAGTCAGGACCATGCCCTTCACCCCTCCCTCCCTCTTGGGCTCGCACACGCAGGAGCTGCGCGTGGGCCCGCAGGGACGAGTCCAAGCAGGAAAGGGACAATCACATGTGCGTCAGTCACCGGGGAGCAGCATGGGGTCTAAGAGGCGCCCGTGAAGAGCGAGCGATGTTAGCTGCTGACCCCAAAGTGAAAGGACCCTCACCCTACTCGACCGACAGGGAAGTGTGGTTGGAGGTCTGTCCCACATGTGTGACGGCAACACCCACAAGAGAGAAGGGAACCGCTCGCCACGGTTTAGGTTAAGAATGGCCCCGAAGAGACACGAGTGGCCAGGCCCGGCCAAGCCAGCACGGCCGCACGGAGCAGCCAGAGCAAAGAGCAAACTGAGAAAGACACAAGCTCCCCCAAGAAGAAGGAGAGTAAAGTCGGCACGAGCAGCACCTCGGGGCTCCTCTCCACCAGCGCCGAGAGCACTCGGAGGGAGCTGGCCGACTTCACCCCAGACCCTCCGCCCAGCTGTGCTGCTGCTCCTAAGAGCGACAACACCTTGAGTGAGCTCCACCATTCTAGGAGCCCCAGGGGGTCCTGGGCGTCCTGGGTAGGAGGGAGCTGGATGCTTCCTGGATGTCACTTTACTCCAGAACAGCCCTTCAAAGGCCCAGAGGTTACATTTCGGACAAGAATCTACCACTGCAATATTAACAGTCCAGGAGTTACTTGCTTGGATACATTGGAGGATAATTGGAGCCCAGCACTAACTGTTTCTAAAGCCCCCCTTTCCATCTGCTCACTTCGTACGGACTGTCACCCCGCCGACCCTTTGGTGGGAAGTACCGGCACGCAGTATGTGACCAGCGGAGCGGAGCACGACAGAACGGCCAGGCAGCAGCGGACCAAGAGATGCGCTACCTAAATCAAATCGAGTCTTCACAATTGTGACACTATTTGTCCGTTGCAGAAGAGAGCTGCTTACGATTTTGAAGGGGCAGGGGAGGGCGGAGTGGGCAGAGCAGGGCATTTCCATAACATATTATTGTTCAGTCTTATTTCCTAAGATTTTGTTGTAACTTAAGGCATCTTGCTACAGTAGACAAAATTGGCATTTGCACCTTTTCGAAGTCATTAGTTCTACGGTATTGGCTGAAATATAGTACAGAAAAGAACGTACACTTAGACATTTGAATTCTATCGCTTACAGTATGTAACCTTTAAACAGCTTGATTTGCGCAGATTACACAGGTGACTTTATGTGACGTCATTGTAAGACGGCATACTTGGTGTTTTAAAAATTGGAATGTTTGTTCCCTTAGAAGTGGACATGAATATATATGTTTGGGCTAGAAGACACCATGCAGGAAATGAATAGCGAATGTATTTTATTTTATATTAAATTTACTTTAAAGGTGTAAATCAGGGCTTGCCAGGCGTGGACTAGGAGTCCCTCAGTGGACTGGTTATATGCTGCAGACTTCTTACATCTGCATTTTTTTTTCTTTCTTTCTTTATTTATTTTTATTTATTACATTTATTTATTGTGTGTGTGTGTGGCCAGCTCAGCCCACCAGGGGGCGCGGCTGGCTGGCATGTGGTGCTGGGGATCGAACCGCGGTCCCTGTGCTTTGCCAAGCTTGTTTCAAGTAGATGCTTTAGACCACTGAGCCATCTCTCCAGCCCCTGCATTTTTTTTTTCTAACTGGGAAAAAAGTATTTATTTAGAATTAGCCAGCTGGACTCAGTTTAGATGATCCCAATTTTGTTGGCAACATTCAGTGTGTCACTGTCGGGAGCCAGTCGAACACATGCCTTCTCCTCTCCATCAGGCCTGAGCAGGGTCCTGACCTTGGCTGCATCGATGTCACAGAGCCTCTTCACGGCTTGTTTGATCTGGTGCTTACTGGCTGCGACATCCACCATGAACACGAGCGTGTTGCTGTCCTCGATTTTTCTCGTGGCTGACTCTGTGGTCAGGGGGAACTTGATGATGGCATGGTGGTCAAGCTTGGCCCTCCTGGGGCGCTCTTCAGAGGGTATTGGGCTGCCTCCGGAGCCACAGGGTCTTGGGACGGCGGAAGGTGGGCGACGTTCGTATCTTCTTTTTGTGACCGTGGATGCCTTCCAGCACGGCCCTCTTGGCCTTCAGAGCTTCTGCTTTGGCTTCAGCCTTGGGAGGGGCAGGGGCTTCCTTCTTCACCTTCAGCGCCATCTTGGTAAAAAGGCCTGTGTGCATTTGTTATTGTGCTAGTAAACTATATTAAAACAACCAAAGATGGGGCTGGTGAGATGGCTCAGTGGTCTAAAGCACCTACTTAGAACAAGCTTAGCAAAGCACAGGGACCACGGTTCAATCCCCCAGCACCACATGCC